GGACTCATCCCAGCCCCTTTAGCCTATCCCCAGTGCCTGGAGTTGCCACCTTTCCCTGCTTTACCACATCACTCCTTAGTGCCAGCTCTATCATGGAGGCCAGGGCTGGGGCTTCTGACAACTAATGGGGTGCCATCTCTCTCAGTGAGAGAAAGCCACACATACACACTGCCCAGGTCTGTGAAATGAAGTCAGGGCTTGCCCCAGCCCTTCCCCTGTGCTCCGCCCACACATGAGGCAGAACATGGCATCCTGGGAAGAGCCCCATGGCTTCTAGTCCTGGCTTTACCATTTCCTCACTATGTGACCTTGGACTAGTTCCTTTTCTTCTCTGGGCCTTAGTTTCCACATCTGTACAAAAACTGTTCTGCCTACGTCATAGAGTTGTTCTAGAAGTAAATGAAATGATTGGTGTGCAAATAATTTGCAAGCAGTCAAATGCTCTGTGCCTGCAAGAGAGTGGTTAAATTAATTCTCCCAGAATAAACCCAAGAATATGTGGTCAATTAATTTACAACAAAGTAGCTAAGATATACAATGGGGAAAGAACAGTCTCTTCAATAAATGGTGTTGGGAAAACCGGACAGCCGCATGCAAAAGAATGAAAACTGGACCACTGTCTTAGATTATACACAAAAATTAACTAAAAATGAATTAAAGACTTGAATGTAACACCTAAAAGCATAAAACACCTAGAAAGAAACATAGGTGGTAAACTCCTTGACAATAGTCGGCGATGATTTTTTGGATCTGACACCAAAAGCAAAGGCAACAAAAGCAAAAATAAACAAGTGGGACTATATCAAACTAAAAAGCTTCTGTGCAGCAAAGGAAACCATCAACAAAATGAAAAGGCAACCTACTGAATAGGAGAAAATATTTGCAAATCATATATCTAATAAGGGGTTAATATCCAAAATATATTAAAAACTCATACAACTCAATAACAAAAGAACAAACAATTTGATTAAAAAATGGGCAAATGATCTGAAGACTTTTTTCAAAGAAAACATACAGATGGCCAACAGGTACATGAAAAGATGCTCAACATTACTAATCATAAGAGAAATGCAAATCAAAACCACAATGAGATACAACCTCATACCTGTCAGAATGCCTATTATCAAAAAGACAAGAAATAACAAGTGTTGGTGAGAATGTGGAGAAAAGGGAACCTTTGTGCACTGTATGTGGGAATGTAAATTGGTGCAGCCACTATGGAAAACAGCATGGAGGTTCCTCCAAAAATTAAAAATAGAACTAGTCTGTGATCCAGCAATTCTACTTTTGGGTATTCACCCAAAGAAAACAAAAACATTAATTTAAAAAGATAGCTGCACCCCCATATTCACTGCAGCATTATTTACTATAGCCAAGACATGGAAGCAACCTAAGTGTCCATTGATCAATGAATGGATAAAGAAATTGTGGTAAGTATACACAATGGAATATTATTCAGACAAAAAAAAGGAATGAAGTCTTGCCATTTGCTACAACATAGATGGACCCTGAGGGCATTATGCTAAATGAAAGAAGTCAGACAGAGAAAGACAAATATTGTATGATCTCACTTATATGTGGAATCTAAAATTTAAAAAAAATGAGCTTATAGGTACAGAGAACAGATGGGTGGTTGCCAGAGGGGGGGTGGGGACTGGGCAAAATGGGTGGCAACAAAAAGGTACAAATGTCCAGTTATAAAATAAATAAGTCCTGGGGGTGTAACGTACAGCATAGTGACTATAGTTAATAATATTGTATTGTATATTTGGAAGTTGCTAAGAGAGTAGATTTTAAAAGTTCTCATCACAAGGAAAAAAAATTCTGTAACTATGTATGGTGATGGATGTTAACTAGACTTATTGTGGTGACCATTTCACAATATATACAAATATTGAATCATTATGCTGTACACCCGAAACTAGATATGCCAGATTTGCCTTGTGGAGTCAGAGAATGTATGTTCTCCATACATTCAGCAAGTCATTCCTATGACTGTGCATGCCTCATTCTAAGAACTGAAATCTTCAAGTCCAAAAGACCAGAGTATTCAGGGGCCTCTCTAGTCTAGTTCGCAGCCTAGCTCTTGTTCATATACATTGAACTTGAAACAAATTAAACTGGTTACCCAAACTGCCCTGCTTTTTTCCACTTCTATATCTTTGCTTTCTGAGTTCTCTCCACTAATACCTCTTCTTTCCTCTCTACTGATTAAAACACTTTCTACCATTTAAGGCCGAGATCAAATACCACCTCTTCCATCAGACTTTCCCTCAAGTTAGCAGCTGAAGGGGATCTCTCTGGTTTCTGAAGTCCAGTAGGCCATTTTGCACTTTGGATCTAGTATTTGAGGGCCACCTTTCCGAATAAAGCAAAAAAATTTTTCCATTGCAAGAGAGAACGCAGACTGATCAGTGTCGTGTAGAGCAGAGCCGGCCCCAGGCTCATGGCAATGCTAAGAAGGAAGGGAGGGAAGGAAGGAGGGAAGGGGGGAGGGTGAGAGGGAAGAAGGAATGAAAAAAAAGGAGAACAGTATAAGACAGGGAGAGTGGGAGAGGAGGGAGGGAAGGGGCCTAGTTCACCTGAAATGGTTAAGATTCGGCTTTCCTGGAAGCTAGTGGTTATAGTGAGGGGTAGAGGAGGGAGATTGGGTTATCATCTGGGGCCAGTGCCAGCAAGAGACTAAAGGCCAAGGGGGAGATTTCACTCCAGGAACAGTGACATCACCTCTGTCTCCTCCTCATGCCTCCCCGGGAAAGTTGCCTCGGAAGATTCATCATTAGAATTTGTGATGGTCCATTCCAACCGTTGGCCTGTTGTCTGGATGGGAATGGTTAGGCCTGGGGAGGGGAAGAAACTAAGGCACCGGGCCTTGAAGTTGTCTCTGCCTACCAGAAGCACAGGTAACTGGAAAAATAACAGCTGAGCGTAGTCTGGAGAGCTGGGCCACCAATAATGTGGGCACTTAACTTTGTCAGGTTCTCAGTCCACTCATCTGGGAAATGGAGCTAAGGATTTCAGCCCTTGTTCTCTGCCTAGAATTTGGTATGCTCCTACATTCTCCTCAAATGCAAGTCATTTGAAATGCCCAGAGTATACACATGCTTTTATGGGTCAACCAGAGAATCTGTGTCCCAGATGCCACAGGGAAAGCCACCCTGGCCAGGCCCCATTTCAAGGGTCTACTTTCCTGGTTGCCTATAGCAGATGGGGCTGCTGAGGTTGACCCTTAATTCCCAAGGGCCCTGACTAAGGTGATGGGGTCCAGAGCCAGGGGTGGGGTCCTGGACAACTCACCCCTGAGGAGCCCGGATTGAAGGAAAGGTAGAATGAGCTGGGCTTTCCTTCCCTGAAGCCCTCTGTCTCTGCTTATAGCCTAGTCCTTCAATTCTCTTGCTTATTGGAGATAAACAGTTGCACTGCTCTCCAAAATGCATAAGAATGAAAGTCTGGAAGCTGACTGGGGCAGGACCAAGGAGATAGATGTACAGTTTTCTTGCCATACTTCCTTAAGTGTCTTAGACACTAGGAGCTAGGAAGAGTAGGGGAGGTAAAAGGGGGGAGTGGCAAGTCAATTCAAGACCTCATTCCCTGCCTCCCTTTACCCATGATAGGAGATCATAATGTAGGGGAGCTGTCAAAGCAGATCCCAGGAAGAGCTCTAAACATCTAAAGTGTTTCCCAGGTACAGATTATCTGTGCTTTTCTCCTCCACCCCTTCATCTTGTTTCTCTTTTACTGCTCATCCACGTCCATACCCACAGTTGTGCAGGAGAAATACAAGGTACTGTGGAAGGATAGAGATTTAGCAAAATGAAGGTGCCTGGATCTGGATTTGGGTGGTTATCTGTGCCAGTCCTAGGGCCTGTTTGCCTTCTTCTCCTGCTCTTATCTACATCATAGGGGGACTGATCACTGCAGGCTGCATTTCCCAGGATCCCTGTCAATCATCTTCTGGCTGGATTCAACCAATGGGAGGCACTGGTGGAAGGGCAGGAAAAGAGGAGAAGCCAGAGTACAGAGAACCTCTGCCTTTTGTGCCTCTGGTGGTGTCTCTACTGTGTTTCTTCTACGCTACTGCTGTCAATGTGATCCCGGCTCCTGGCTCAGGTCATACCACCTCCTGCCGCTGTCCCTCCATTCTTCAACTTCCCCTGCTCTGCCCTATATTGCAAGAGGGCTGACCCCTGTAGGCTGTATTTCCCAGGCTCTCACATTAGTTGACTTTCAGTTTCCCCCAGTGAGAGAGACATTGGAGGCAGATTGAAGGGCAAGAATGAGGGAAAATAGAGGGTACTTTTTCCTTTCCTCTGGTTTGCGCAGCATCAGTCTTCTATGGTTCGAGCACCCATGTGCTTGTGATTCCACTTTCTATAAGGTGACCCCTATCCCTGGACTCTGGACATACCTCCTCCCTTACCCCTCCAGCCTAGGGGTGGTGTTGGTCTCCTGCTGTCACTAATCTCTGGTTTACCTTCCTGTCCTGCTTGCATTCTCAGCCTATCACCTATGTAACCAATTTCTTTTCTGCACTAAATTCTCTGTCATAAATATTTGGTAGTTTGTTTTCCCAGTTAGATCTTGACTATAAACTGAACTAGTGGGAATGCAGCCTATGATTCAAGGTGAGTGAATGGGAGGCTCCTTGGTCATTTGATTCAAAGTAATAGGGGGTTGGGTGACAGCCCCTGAAAAGGTGCCTTGTAGCAGCCAGAGAAGTGAAGGGAGGTACAGGGCTGAGCAAGCTGATGCTATCCTTTCACCCACTTGAATTCTTCAGGACTTGCTTCTAAGACAACACAGCTCCAAATTCTCTCAAGGGTCTTGGTTGGGAGGTGTGGGCCATTGGGTTAGTTTTCTCTTTTTCTCTTTTAGTGGCCAGGACTCCTATCCTGTCAAATGCCATATCATTATCATCCTTCCCCATGGCCAACCAGATACCTTTCCCCAGTGAACCCCCTCGCCCCGCCCCCGACACACCAGACACAGCAGCCACCAGGATTTATTTTGTTGAGGATTTTATTGTGGAGGATAATACAGGAGAGCAGCTCCAGGTGAGTGGGTAGAGCTGTAGTGCCCACCAGATACTTGAGTGCCTGGGTAGTTTTTGAAGGCATCGTGGGTTTCTGGGCAGGTTGCAAGATTACAGTTGGTGTTTGAGGTAACTAATCAACATGGGGGGAATATCCAGCTGGTTTATGGCTTGTGGCTGGCTGGCCTGGCGTAAGGCTCTGCGGATAACTAAACGGGCCTGTGATAGTAGTGACCGTGGAGTGGCTACAGCAAGGAGAAACAGGTCATGAGAAGCAATTCTCCCACCCAAGCATATATCCACCCTGCCTTGGCTACTGCAGCCCTAATTTCTCTCTCCCTTCTAAGAAATGTCCCCCACCCTGCCTTCAATGCATGGTACCAATGGGGACACACTGAGGCCTAGAGAGAGCATGCTCAAGGTCACAAAACAGTCATTTCAGAGCCAGAACCAGAAATTGAGCTAGTGCTATCCCCCACCTTATCATAGTGATCCCTTCTCCAATAAGGAATCTGTAACCGCTTCTCCACTGGGGCCTCAGGAAAGGGAGGAACATGGTGTTTTCTCCAATTTATCCCAGAAGGATTGGCTTGGGGGGAGTCATCTGGAGCTCTGGGACCTCCAAGCCAGGAGGCCTATAGGGCTGGCCTGTTTGACACTCACCTCGGGCCTGTAGCAGCAATGCAGTGCCTTTATCATCTTGTGAGTTCAGGTCCAGGGAGACAGATGGAAGGTAGACGTTAGCGCCAAAGTCAATTAAAAGCTGGATGTACTCTGGCTCACAATTATGGTGAAGGCAGATTTCAATGAGGGTGCGGGGCCGTGGGACACGAGCCAATAGGTGCTGGTCAGTGCAGTTGTAGTTGGGGTCTGCCCCATACAGCAAAAGTAGGCGGAAACAGTCAAGGTGCCCATAGACTGCAGCCAAATAGAGGGGTCCAGAACATGAAGCTATGTTTGATGCCCAGACTGGTAGTTTAGCCTTGACGTTGGCTTCTGCGCCATGGCCCAGGAGCTCCTGCAGGATGGCAACAGCACCATCACGGGCAGCTGTGAGCACAGGAGAACAGTTGTTGTAGATGCTACCACCAGGACAAGCACCAGCTTCTAAAAGCACACGCACGCAGTCCAGATGGCCATGACTGACAGCAGTAAAAAGTGGTGTCTGTGCCTTGACATCCAAGCTGTCAACATCAGCACCATGTGCCAGGAGGACCTGCAAACAGCTAAGATGGCCATAAGAAGCAGCCAAGCGCAAGGGTGTCCCAGGAACACCCCAGCCACTCCTACTGTTGATGAAACGTTTGTAACGCTCCTGGCGCAAAAGCTGGTCCAAGGTATAGGAGTCATTGTCGTACACTGCTTGATTGAGAGCCTGCTTCTCCCTCGTGTCGGTGTCCTCCTCCTCCTTGTCGGGCTGCAGGAGGGAGAAGATCTTGGTGATGTCCATGAGGTTCATCTTGGCTGATTGGAGCAGAACTATTCTCATTATGAGCAGAAGGATATGCCAGATCTGTGGGTGACAAAAACGGGAGAGAGACTGAAGGCCCTCATCAAAAGCCTGGTTGCCAGCCCTTGCCCCCACCCTTCACCATCAGGCTCTTCACTGCTGGATCCCTTGCTTCTAAGTCCTACTTCAGTTTATTTCAGGCTCCAGAGATGGCTGCTGAAACAGATCAGACCATTTCACAGCTTGGTGCCTTTGCATATGCTGTTCTGCCTGCCCTTCAAACATCTACTTCTAGGAAGCCTTCCCTAGTCTCCTCCTCCCTCCTGCTCAGGGATTCCAAAGGATCACAAGTAGACTTTAACTATGAACTTTCACACCACGTTTCCACATATCTGTGCTTCATTAGTGTGTAAACTCCAGGGTGAGGACCCCTAAATCCATCTTGTATTACTCCACTCCCAGTAGGGCCTACATCATGGCTGATGATTTGGTGGATGCATTTTCCTGACTTCAGCATGTGTGGACTAATGAGACGGCTCTGGTCTTGCAGTTGCTAGACCAACAGGATGGTGCTTTGTGGTGTCAAGCTGTCCTCCCTGAGCATTTTGACATCAGTTTCATGGGGCAGGCCCTCAATTCCACCTCTCAGCTTTTTAGATGGAGTTCAACCTCTTCACAGCCCCTCATATGTGACCTCCCCTCAGACAGGCCCCATGCTTGGGGCAACAGAGTTGCTCAGGAAATGAATGTTGCACGACACTTGTTGATTAAATAAAGAGGTGGCATTACAAAAACACATTCAAGTAAAATGAAGTCAAAAAATGGCAGGAAATATTTGAGGTTTCCAGGGCAAGTCCTCCTCTCTGGTGACAACTGGTTTCTCCCCCAGGACCACTTCAATCTAGGAGTCCCTTTGATTGCCAGCACCTCCTTGGAACCTATAGTTTCCCCATCCCTCTGGGTCAAGCCTTTTCCCATCCTCTCTGGCCTACCCAGCCTGGAGCCTTGCCTCAACCCACAACTCTTCTCTTTCCATCATCCCCAGGCCCTACAAAATTACCCATGGCCAGTTACTGACTCAACCTAACTCCTCAACATTACCAGTCCTGTTCTTAGTGCTCCAAAGTCAGTCACCCACCTCAGTTTGTAATGTCATCAGGGTAATCTGGTAGGGTTTTCAGAGCTTGAGTCTGCCTACTCTCCCATACCCTGCAGCCGTGGTCTCAAGTCCACACCCCTCCTTTTATTCACTATCTGCCTCCACCCCTCTTTGTTAGCCTGGGATCTCAGGTATACACCTCATAGAAAAAATTGTGAGGTGGCTGGGTGGGTGGGATCTCTCTCAACTTTAGGCCCCTCCCCAACTATCAGCATCAACTCCATATATGGTCTTATTATTTATTCATTTTTGGGGTACAATTATAAGAAGAAGATTTTAGATATCAGGCCAGACCTGTTTTCAACTCAGTACCTCCAGTTTCCAGCTGAGTAACCTTGGGCAAGTCTCTTCCCTTCTTTGGGACTCACTTTCTTCATCCAGAAGACAGAAATGATAGTCCCTGCCTCATGGGGCTGTTAAGAGGAAAAGAGCTAGCATATATTAGATCTTCAAAGGTGAGGTTCCTCTCTCTGCACCTTTAATCTTCTCACTGGCTCCTCCCCCTCAACCATCTTGGGAAGCAAAACAAAACACTTCTATGGTCCTTTGTTTCACTCTAGTTACCTTTCTCTTCATCTGTCTCTTCTTCACCAAACATATCCAAAGTATTGTCTACCGTCTACTTCCCCGCCTCCCATTCACTTCTCCACCATCTGCAGTCTGGCTCCACCCACCCTCAATCACACACTGATATAGTTCTTTAAAAAATCATCCTGTGGTTAAATCTACTGGCTGCTTCTCAGATCTCTCCTTCTCTGACTTTTCTGGGGCATCTGTCCCCATTGACCACTTCCTTCTACATACTCCTCTCTTGGTTTCCTGGCCAGCACACTCTCCTGATTTTTTCCCTCTATTCTCCCCTGAAATAGTTATGTTCCTCCTTGTTCTTTCCTTGATCTTCTTCTCTCCAGTCCCAGAGCTGTAGCTCTCACCTTTATTCTGCACTCTCTTCAGCAAAAGGTATGTATTCACTGAGTTTCTTCAGGCACATCGAAGTCAGCAGTATCACACCACCACCATCACCAAACTTGATTCCTATCTCAGTTCCTCACCATACACCTGGTCAACGAAACCAAAAATCCATGACTCATCTAAGTTCTCTTATCTCTTTGTCCCATTCCCATCCAATTGGTCATCAAGTCTTGTGGATTTTGCTTCCTAGAGAAATCTCTAGGCCATCCTCCTCAGGCCCATCCTCATTGCCAGTGCTTTAACTAGGCCCTCATAATCTTTTGCCTCAAATGTTATAGTAGTCTCCTAACTAGTTTCCCTTTTCATTATTATCTCCAATATTGTAGCTAAAGTGATCGTTTAAAAATACAAATCTGGTCTGTGCCAATCCCCTGTTTTAAATCCCCTAATGGCTCCCCTTTCTGTCAGAGTATAACCTAGATGGCTTAGCCTGGCTCACAGGCCCTTCATGAGCAAATCTTGGACAACATCTTCAGTCTCACTTCCTACTAATCCTCTACTTATACCCCAAGATCCAGTGATAAGAGAAGAGAAATGATGGCTCTCCATATACATCGTCCCTCCTCTATCACATGCTTCTGATTGGTTAGTTCCTCCAGAGTCTGTGCTTTTATAGCACTATAGCAGTTATCACACTGTATTTTAACTCCTTCTATATGGGTCTGTTTTGCCCCCACTGCAGATTGAGAGACCATATAGGGTGGTGGTAAAACATGGTCTGGGATTCTGCTTCAACCCCAGCTCCACCACTTAGTATCTGTGTGACATAGGGCAGATCACTTACCTCTGTACCCGTTTCTTCATCTATAAAGAGAGAGTGATTGTAGTACATGCCTCAGAGGGTTATTGTTGGGATTAAATGAGTTTATACATATTAAGTATTTAGAATAGCATGTGAATGTAGTACTCAGTAACTATTTTTACTGTGTTGATTATTATTACTTAGGTCTCCAATTTCTACAACTATTGCTTTCTCCTAAAAGTCCTATAACCTCAGAGCTGGAATGCACTTAATAAATAATTTAATTTATTTTTCTCAATTTAGAAATGGGTAAACCAAGACTCAGAGGAGAGCAGGGACCTTTTCCTAAGGTCACATGGCTGTTATTGTCAGTTGTCTCATTTGCAAGAACCCTGAACACAACTATAATCTTGTGGTTTTCAAAGCTATTTCACATAGTGGAATACGTAATGTTATCCCCATTTTGTGGATGGAGGAAACTGAGGCCCAGGAGGGTAAGGGATTTACTGGGTGCCTTACATCAAGGCAATAGCAAAGCCAGAAATAGAATCCAGGTTTTCCTACTCCCCATCCTGTTCTTTCTATTGCAACCTGGAAAATAAATGCATGCCCCTCCCCCATGCCTCAAGCAGAGTCACATTGCAGCTCCCAGAATCCTCAGCTTTGAGGGTCATGCTGAATTCCAGGGACTTCAGTCATGGACAGTTTGTTTACAAATCATTTCTTCTAACAGCCAGTAGGGATTCCCTTCTTACTATTTTATTTTGGGGAGTGGTGATCCAGGGAGATGAAGAGGGCAGGAATTGTGGAGGGAAATGCTGAAGCTCTCACCAAGGTCATACCACTAGCCAAGCTGACAGCAGGGCCCATCTAATGAGTCTCCAGAGGGAGATCAAGCCATGGCCCCCAGCTGGCTTGGGCATTTGAGTGAATTGCACCTATTAGATAAGATAAGAAATCTAAGTAGTATATTGTCTAACCTCACCTTGCTGTATTTTATTAATCAGAGTTATTATGTGACCATTCTGTGCAAGGATCCCCTTCCTGATCCCTGAAATGCAGGAGTTTTAACGTTTTCTTTGTGAAATTGGCACCTGTGGCAATCTGGTTAAGTCTCTGGTCCCCTCTCAGAATGGTTTTTAATACATAAAATAAAATATATTGGATTAAAGGAAACCACTTATATTGAAACATAGCTATCAAACTATTTTTAAAACTGCATGGTATAGTAATAGATGTTCTTTATTAACACATTAAATAACAAGATCTACTAATAATTTCTAAGTGATGAGCATAAATGACATTTCCAGATCTCTGCCACAACTGTAATGTGATATGAAATGTCTGTGATTTCTTTTGGTGACCAAGCTACAGGAACTGGTAATACTACTGCCATTTGCTGCCTGCATTCATCCTTGAAGGAAATGGTAAATTTCAGTTAGAGATTAGGGGGAAAAAAGGTAATTGTCTGCCCCATCCATGTTTTTGGACCCTTTGAATTCTATCTAAGGCCCTCTTGGGTGTCTGTGAATCCAAGTTAAGAACTCCTATGGGAGAGTGACTGGTTTCTGCGGGCCCTAGAACAGTCCTCCGGGCATTAGTAGACTATTTTTAAGCCTTACCTTCCCCCGCCAACCCTGAGGAGATTTTCCATTTTGCCCTTGAGTCCACCCCTCTGCACCCCCCAACACAGACTCACAAATACCAAAGACAGACCTTCACCCTCCCTGTATTGTATAACTTCAGTTTCCCTCAAGAAGTAGGTCCAGTTGGACCCCAGAGCCTAGACAGACACACCCGCTTCGGACAGACATGCCAGGAAGCCGTCATCATATCTTTCTTTTCCTCGGCAGGAAAGTTTCCCTACCAACCTCCAAGTGCCCCCAGAAACCAGATCCAGTGGGAACAACCTACAAAGGGTAGTGGTCACAGGTCCATGGGCCCACAGCCCTAAGTGTTCATTCCTCCCTGGCAGCATCGGGTCCTAGGTTCCAGGTACTCACCGGGCTTCGGCCAGAGGCTGCGCTGCCCAGACTCGCTGCCCCTGCTCCTCTATGAAGCACTGGGCCCTGGTGGCCCCTCTGGGGGAGCCCCTACTGCCCAGGGGCTAGAGCAGATGGGGCCTTCGGTTCCCACTGTTAACAACACTGTCTAAAGGCTAGGCGTCAGCCCCTGGGCTAGGTCCAGGGGGCTAATTTTAGGCTACCCTCCACCCCGCCCTCCCAGGACCGTGTTATCTTACTAGTGCCATTCTGGGAGCCATCCTAGCAAGAGGAGGGGGGCTACCCATGAGGAAGTCCTGGAAGGACTGACTGACAGACAGGTGCCTGGCAAGGCCAGGGCTCAAGCTCCTAATGTGTCCCAGCATATCCCTCCTCACCATTCAAATGGGCTACAGGGCCAGGCCTCTGCACTGTGGGTGTTGCCACCCTTCCACCAAGGGGCCTGAGAAGGCCCAGTCTCGCCTAGCACAACTTTCCTCTGGGCCTGGACCGCTTTTTTTTTTCTCTCTCTCTAACTTAGCTTCTCTGGATTTCCATTTTTGTTTCTTTAAGGTCCAGCAACTCATCACCTTCCCCTCCCCTCCAGTCCACGACCTCAACTCCCAAGAGTGAGGAGGAGGGTGGGGAGCAGAGAGCTCCATACTTAAATGTGTATCAGTAAGGTTTTCTAAAGTTTAAGAAGGCACTGATCATTTGTAAAGGCCTCCTCAGTCCACTAACCCACTAGGCTCAGCCTGAAGAAAATGTCCAAGGCCTCTCCACTCTTCTCACACCTAAGGCATCAAACCAGATTAATGTGCTGAGCACTGGGAAGTTTGTCAAAAGCTTAGCTCTGAAGAGTATCATTTTACCTCCTTGGTTGCCTTAAATGAAGGAAGTGGTAGGGAGATACCTTTGGAAATTGTCACATTGTCTATTTTAAGCATCACCCAAAAAGAAACTGGGAGGCAGCTTCCTCTTCCCTCTAGGAGGAAATGCCAGCCTAGCATTTGGTATACAAATTATACCACAAACAATCTGATCATGTCTGAGAAACTCATTATGGAGAAACTATCAAGCAGCCACCATGTGTAAGGTTCTAAAGGAAGAACACAAAGAAAAGTAAGACAAGGTGTCCCTTAAAGAACTCACAAGTTATTAGGAAAAACAGACATGGAAACAATTATATTTCACATAGTGCAAAAATACCAGAACTAAAAGCTGCCTATGGTTATCCTGTGCCCATGTCAATCTCCCAAATTAAGTCCAGGGGGTTACTGCAGGGTTGTGTTCCTACATGCCACTAAAAACAATAATAACTTGAATTTTCCTGCAGAGATTCCAGTCTATACAGAACGCTGATCCCAAGACCTCAAAGTCTTTCTCTTTCTTTTCCAGTCACCAAGGAAGAGAAGGTTCCAATCAAGAAAAACAAAAGGCCAGTGAGGAGACCAGAGATGTGTTGGGATAAAGCAGTAGCAGCCCTGTTTCACATGGTTATTTTGGTGTTAGAATCTGCACATTGAAAGGGATTTTTTTACATTTATGAGAGATATTCAATGACTTCTGTTTAAATGCTTCCAATAATAGGGCATCCAGAAGCAGCACATCTCATTATTAGGCAGCTTAGTTAGTCTGAATCTATAAAGCACCCCTGAGGTTACCTACTGATCCTATCTTCACGCACCCTTAGGACCTCAGAGAACATGATCATTTTCTTTGCCCCAAGACAGCCCTTTAGGGGTCAGAACCCAGGTCCTATCCTTCATGTCACCTTGTCTCAGGGAAAACAACCCCAGCTCCTTCAACTATTTCTTTGAAGCTGGTAACTATCCAGTTTCTTCCCCAGTCTTGTCTACCACACTCATGAAGTGGTCATTCAGCCTGCTTACACATTGACAGAACCACAGAGTTCACAGGAGGTCAGATGACTCCTTAGGAAAGTATCAGAGAATCCCAGTGTGATCAATCACTCTGAAGATCAGAAACATCAAAAAGCCTATCTGCTTCAGCTTAGTTTGAGCCAGTGGCCTGTAGCTGTTCATTATCTGAGGCCTCATGCAAGCCTGATTAGCAGCCAATAAATAAGCTATTATGATGCTAAAGATGACAGAGTAGGGTATTATTCTTAAAAAAATGATTAGTAGGATTTTTAATAGAAAATTTTTTTCAGATAATTGTATATTCACATGCAGTTGTAAAAATAATAGAGATCTCTTGTACACTGTACCTTTTCCTTCAATGGTAACATTTTGCAAACTATAGTACAATATCACAAGGAGGATACTGACATTGATACAATCCACCTATCTTATTCAGATTTCCCAAGGTTTACTTGTAGTCATTTGTATGTGTGTGTATTTACTTCTATACAATTTTATCACATATGTAGGTTCTTATGTATACCACTACAAACAATATACAGAATAGTTCTATCACAATGAGACTATCTCGTGTTGCCTTTTTATAGCCATATCCACTTCCTTTCCACTCCTCCCACCTGGGCAACTTCTAATCTGTTCTACACTTCTATAATTTTGTTATTTAGAAATTATATAAATGAAACCATACCTTTGGAATTAGCTTTTTTCATCCATCATGCCCTTGAGATTCATCCAAGTTGTTGCATGTATCAAGTTTGTTTTTGTTACTGAATGGGATTCTGTGGTATGTATGTACCATAATTTGTTTAACCATTGACCTGGTGAACAACATCTGAGTTGTATGTAGTATTTGGCTATTAAGAATAAAGCTTCTATGAACATCTGTGTACACATCTTTATCACTGTAGTTATATTGTAGACCTTATTATTGGGTAGAGTGATTACTCCCACTTTACTCTTCTATGTCAAGATTGTATATAAAAAGAGCCTGTGCCTTTTTATATACATTTTAGAATAAACTTGTCTATGTCTACAAAAAACTTGCTGAGATTTTGGTAGGAACTATGTTAAATCCATATATCATTTTGGGGAGAACTGACTGCTTTACTGTGTTGAGTATTCCAACCCAGGCGCATGGTATATTTTTACATTTATTTAAGTCCTTAATTCTTTCATCAGCATTTTCTACTTTTCAGCATATGGATTGTGTACATATTTTGTTATGTGTATGACTAAGTATTTCAATTTCTTTGGAGCAATTGTAAATGGTATTGGGTTTTGGTTTTGGTTTTGGTTTCCATATGTTCATTGCCAGTATGTAGAAATGTGTTTGTTTTTGTGTGTTGATCTTATATCCTGCCACAGTGCTGAACTCACTAGTTCCAGTTTGTTTTATCTTGATCAATTCCTTGGAATTTTCTATGTAGTCAATCATGTCATCTGCAAATAGAGACAGCTTATTATTTATTTATTAATATATTGTATATTATATTATTAATAATATATTAATATATTATTAAAAATATATTATTATTTCCATCCTTTCTGTATGCCTTATTTCCTTTCCTTGCTTTATTGCAGTGGCTAGAACCTTCAGAACTGTGTTGAATAAGAGTGGTGAGAATGGGTGTCTTTGCCTTTTCCCAATCTTGGGGGAAAGCATTTAGCCTTTTGCCATTAGGTATGATGTTAACTGTAGGTTTTTCATAGATGCCCTTTGTCTAGGTTCACTAAGTTCCATTCTATTCATAGTTTGCTGAGTTTATATCAGGAATGGATGTTGCATTTTGTTAAATGCTTTTTCTGCATCAACTGATGTGATCATATGATTTTTCTTCTTTAACCTGTTCATATGGTAGATTATGTTGATTGGTTTTTAAATGTTGAACCAACCTTTCATTCTTGGAATAGATTCCACTTGGTAATGGTTTATAATTCTTTTTATGCATTGTGGGATTAGGTTTGCTAATATTTTGGTGAGGGATTTTGCATTTAAGTTGATGAGAAATATTGGTTTGTAGATTTCTTTTATTCTTCTGTCTTTGATTTTGGTATCAGGGTAATATTGGCCTTATGAATCGGGAAGTATTCACTCCTCTTCTGTTGCTTGAAGAGATTGTGTAAATTCATAAGATTGGTGTTAATTCTTTAAATGTTTTGTAGAATTCGCCCATGAAACAATCTGGGCCTGGAGATTTCTATTTTGGAAGCTTTTACATAATGAATTGCTTTTTTTCTTTTCTTTTTTTTTTTTGCTGAGGAAGATTTGCCCTGAGCTAATATCCATTGCTGGTCCTCCTCTTTTTTCGCTTGAGGAAGATTAGCCCTGAGCTAACACCTGTGACAATCCTCCTCTATTTTTTTGCATGTGGGACACCTCCACAGCATGGCAGTTGAGTGAAGTAACTCCATGCCCGGGATCTGAACCCGTGAACCCAGGCCGCAGAAGTGGAGTGCATGTAACTTTAACCTCTCGGCCACGGGGCCAGGCCCAAACTGTAATTTTCTTTAAAGGTTATTGAACTATTCATATCATCTGTTTCATCTTATTAAAGTTTTATTAGTTTATGGCTTTTGAAGAATTGGTCAATTTCTTTTAAATTGTCATATTTATGAGTGTAAAGTTGTTCCTACAATTCTCTTTTGTAATTAACTAATTATTTTATTGTGGTAAAAATATATATATATAACATAAAATTTACCATTTTAACCATTTTTTTTTAATTTGTTTTTTTTAAGAGAAGTTTTAGGTTCACAGCAAAATTGAGAGGAAGGTACATAGATTTCCTATATAACCCCTGCCCCTATGCATGAATAGCCTCCCCCAATATCAATATCCCCCACCAGAGTGGGACATTTATAACAATTGATGAACCTACATTGACACATCATAATCACCCTAAGTCCATAGTTTGCATTAGGGTTCACTCTCAGTACATTCTATGGGTTTGGACAAATGTATAATGATATGTATCCATCATTATAGTATCATACAGAGTATTTTCACTGATTAAAACTCCTCTGTGCTCTGCCTATCCATTCCACCCCCACCCCAAGCCCAGGCAATCACTGATCTTTTTACTGTCTTCATAGTTTTGCCTTTTCTAGGATGTCATATAGTTTGAATCATATAGTAGTAACCTTTTCAGATTGGCTTCTTTCACTTAGTAATATGCATTTAAGTTTCCTCTGTGTCTTTTCACAGCTTGATAGCTCATTTCTTTTCAATGCTGAAGAATATTCCGTTGTCTGGATGTACCACACTTTATTTATACATTCATCTATTGAATGAGATCTTGGTGGC